GTATATATTATAATCCTCTACATAAAATACTACTTATGCATTTTTGGTACATTTTGATACTAAATAACTAAAATGGACTCAAATTTATTGAATGTTTTTTTTTCAGTTATCCAAAAAAAATAATGTAAATGTTTACAGTCATAGTTGTGTTAATAAATATGAAATGGAAGTATGTAATTCTTTTAAAATTTATATATTTTTGATAGGCGTAAATGTGGATATATATATTTATTTGTAATACTCAGTATTTAATCCTAGATAATTAATTAGTATTCTTATTTTTGCAATTTGATGAAAAATTTTTAGGTCATCTCTCTCTCTCTCTATTTATAACATAACATTAAAAGTGTTTGACCTCGAAAACTTAAGTGCTGAATGTACATTTTATTAAAGGATTAGCAAAGGCGTTTTGTGGCAAACAACCTCAAAATAAAAATGTTAATTAAACATCTAGACTTTATTAATAACAACCTTTGATGATTCTGTCTAGCCACCCAAAACAAAAAAATGCATTTATTAAAGCTGCAGAGACGCACATAATATTTTATGAGATGTTATTAATTATATCATTTAAAACAAAATTTAACTAAACAGAAAATTTGGAAGAAACGATAAATATTTTTGTCTATCCCAGCTAAAAGCTTATGAACAACATTTTTGTAAAATATCGGTAAAGACATTTACTACCCAAAACTCAAGGTACCACATTACAGCCAACTTAATTACTGAATAGTTAGGAGATACGTTATAAGGGTGCTATATTAAAACGTGGGTCGATATATAGCTACTTCTCATACGCAGGTACTAAAAATTAAACATATCGGTAGATTTTACGGTTTAGCCGCTGTTTCCAACCTAATGGACTGGGTTATTTTTGAAAGATGAAAACATAACCCGGCAAGTCTACTGTCGCAGAAAATTTCAATTTAAAAATTTAATTTTTATAATCTCAGCCTTATGGCTAATGAGGATATATACACGTTGATACGGTGAAAATGTGTCACATTGAAATATAGGTGTTAAGCCCCCATGTTTCTTTGGACCAACCCCATTTCATACAATTTGGAGACGATTTACAAATGTCCGTCTGTCCATCCATCTGGCCGGCTGGTGCGCTCTGTAACTCACGAAGTGAATATCGGTCCACCCCTTTTTTACCCTTCACCACACTGTAGTACAGGGTATTATGTCTTTGTGCATATGTTTGTAGCAGGCAATTGGAAACGAGATAGACACATGGTTCCTTTTTAGAATATGCATAGAATCACTTTTTAAGTCGATTTATGCATGTTCGTCCGTCCTTCCGTCTGTCTGTCTATGTATTTTTGTGAACAAAGTACAGGTCGCATTTATGATCATATTTGGATGAAATTTGGCATAGGTCACTTATTTGGCCCATGGACGAACCCTATTGAAACTGGAAAAAATCGGTCCAGATTTAGATATAGCTCCCATATATATTTTCGTCCGATTTAATGTAAATGGTGTACCAATGTCCCTATATATCGTTCGATTTGCACGAAATTTGGCATAGCGTATTGAATTGTGTCTAGAATGATGTGTGTTAAGTTTCCTGGAAATCGGTTCAGATTTAGATATAGCTCCCATATATATTTTCGTCCGATTTAAGGTAAATGGTGTACCAATGTCACTACATATCTTTCGATTTGCACGAAATTTGGCACAGCGTAATTAATTAGGTCTAGAATGATGTGTGTTAAGTTTCCTGAAAATCAGTTCAGATTTAGATATAGCTCCCATATATATTTTCGTCCGATTTAAGGTAAATGGTGCACCAAAGTACCTATATATGTTTCGATTTGCTCGGAATTTGGCATAGCGTACTGAATCAAGTCTAGAACGATGTGTGTAAAATTTCTTGAAAATCGGTTCTGATTTAGATATAGCTCCCATATATATTTTTGCACCAAAGTCTCTACATATCCTTCGATTTGCACGAAATTTGACATAGCGTACTGAATTGATACTAGAATGATGTGTGCAAAGTTTCGTGAAAATCGGTTCAGATTTAGATATGGCTCCCATATATATTTTCGTCCGATTTTATGTAATTGTGCAGCAAAGTTCCTATATATCTTTCGATTTGCACGAATTTTGGTCTAGGGTACTGAATTAAGTTTAGAATGATGTTGCTAAATTAGTCTCTGCAAGTTTCCCTGATATCTATTCAGATATATTCTACATAAGTTAGGATACATATGTAGAATATACCCAAAGTGGTGAAGGGTATCATATAGTCGGCCCAGTCCGACTTTACTACTTTCCTTACTGGTTGTACCTCGTTCACAAAATGGTCAACATAGCCTAGAAAGTTTAGTCGTAAAGTTTGGTGCAGATTTTGATATAGCTCCAATATATATTTTTAACCAAATAATCAACGGGTGTCCTATTGAGCTGGGCTGCAGCATACCGAATTGTCAATGTACCAACTTTTGCTTTATACCAAATTGAGCCTTGAATGTATTAAGTTTTATTCAAATCGTTTCAAGACTATATAAAGCTCCCACATATAGTTTCGTGGAAATTTCTTACCTAACACCCAAAGTTTGTCGGAGTGAAACACAATTTTAAATAGAGTACCGAACAGGACTAGAACAAGTAAAAAAGTCTTTAATAATTTGTTGCACCGCAATAGTCCTTCGGAAATGCGAAGTGGTGAAGGGTATCCTATAATCGGTCCGTCCTATTTTAAAATTTGTATACCGTCCACCATAAGGGTGTACAATAAGTAATAAATTTTTAATTCCATTTACAATGCCTTGAAATAAGTTCTACGTCGATTTATGCGTGTTTTTTTGTCTGTCTGTCCGTCTGTTGATATCACGATAGTGATCGCAATACTTAAGATAGAGCTCTCAACTTTGCACAGACATTGCTAGTACTCCTTGAATGTTTGGTATTGAAAATGGGATATATCGGTCCACGTTTTGGCGTAGCCCCTATATAACCGTACCCCCAATATTCGTCCTGTATGTTGAATGGCGAAGTACATACAAAATTAGGCCTGAACGGACTTAACTATTTTTTACTTGTTTGATATTTGACGAATCCCACTCGTTTTTCGGCGGTATAAAAATTGAGAGGTGATTGCGCATATCCTGTATATTAATACATATGTAATGTAATGGAAGTGGAAGACTCCTCAGTTGGTCTCATAAGAAATAGTGTGACATTGAGAACCCTTGTTTGAAAACAACTTTCATTGTTAAAGTTCCTATATATCTTTCGATTTGCACGAATTTTGGTCTAGGGTACTGAATTAAGTTTAGAATGATGTTGCTAAATTAGTCTCTGCAAGTTTCCCTGATATCTATTCAGATATATTCTACATAAGTTAGGATACATATGTAGAATATACCCAAAGTGGTGAAGGGTATCATATAGTCGGCCCAGTCCGACTTTACTACTTTCCTTACTGGTTGTACCTCGTTCACAAAATGGTCAACATAGCCTAGAAAGTTTAGTCGTAAAGTTTGGTGCAGATTTTGATATAGCTCCAATATATATTTTTAACCAAATAATCAACGGGTGTCCTATTGAGCTGGGCTGCAGCATACCGAATTGTCAATGTACCAACTTTTGCTTTATACCAAATTGAGCCTTGAATGTATTAAGTTTTATTCAAATCGTTTCAAGACTATATAAAGCTCCCACATATAGTTTCGTGGAAATTTCTTACCTAACACCCAAAGTTTGTCGGAGTGAAACACAATTTTAAATAGAGTACCGAACAGGACTAGAACAAGTAAAAAAGTCTTTAATAATTTGTTGCACCGCAATAGTCCTTCGGAAATGCGAAGTGGTGAAGGGTATCCTATAATCGGTCCGTCCTATTTTAAAATTTGTATACCGTCCACCATAAGGGTGTACAATAAGTAATAAATTTTTAATTCCATTTACAATGCCTTGAAATAAGTTCTACGTCGATTTATGCGTGTTTTTTTGTCTGTCTGTCCGTCTGTTGATATCACGATAGTGATCGCAATACTTAAGATAGAGCTCTCAACTTTGCACAGACATTGCTAGTACTCCTTGAATGTTTGGTATTGAAAATGGGATATATCGGTCCACGTTTTGGCGTAGCCCCTATATAACCGTACCCCCAATATTCGTCCTGTATGTTGAATGGCGAAGTACATACAAAATTAGGCCTGAACGGACTTAACTATTTTTTACTTGTTTGATATTTGACGAATCCCACTCGTTTTTCGGCGGTATAAAAATTGAGAGGTGATTGCGCATATCCTGTATATTAATACATATGTAATGTAATGGAAGTGGAAGACTCCTCAGTTGGTCTCATAAGAAATAGTGTGACATTGAGAACCCTTGTTTGAAAACAACTTTCATTGTTATAAACTTTATGTCGCTTTTCATAGGACATTTTCAAAATTGTCCTTTCATTTATGTAATAATCGCTATCATCGTTGTCACTATGCCTCTGTGTATATTTTTAGATATCATTAAAGTATAAACATTCTCATCAAACGAAAAACCAAAGAAAATCCAACCAAAGTCTGGTCTGACTACAAAATTACTTTCATGAAAATTCATTTGCAATTTTAGTACGGCGAAAAAAACGACAAAGAAAAAATGGAAACACCAAAGGCGGTTTCTTCTTTAGAATGTATTTAAATTCATTCGGCGAACAACTTTCATTTCAGTTTCTGGCCACTATTATTTGCCCGCCTACAGGCGTTTCGCTTTTTGTTTCGCCCTGCTTAAAAAAAGAAAAAATTTCAAGACAATGCCACAATCCAGTGTGTAAAAGCGGCGTTAGCCCTTGGCGGATGTTTTCGCAATGTAATTGCAATTGTCGGTTTTTTCGTGGTAATGTAATTAAGTGAGAGTAATTGTAATTTCATTGGTTTTTATTGTTTATCAGGATATTACACAAGTTACAATGTTATTCAATTTTAAACTTTGTCATCGTTAACCATTTTTGTTGTTGTTGCTCTCCTCGTGATTGTTGTTAGTCCTTGCGTGATTCCTTGTTAGTCGGATTACTTGGTTCAGCATCCCTGTTGATTGGTCCTCTGTAGGGGTTTCAATGACAAACCATTCTGTTTGATAACGCTGCGAGCTCGTTCAATGTATTGCGGATTGGGATTACGTTGACGCGTTAAGATCCAAACAACCTCTGAAATTTGTAAATGGCAGACAAATTAAAGATTTAATTGTGTTGATAAAGAGTTATGATATTGTTAATAGATTGAATTATAATATTGTGACATTTTATGGTTTAATTGTGTACAAATTTAAGGTGGTTATATTCGAATCTAATCGGCGAAGCTAATGTTATATTAAATTATACAGTATTGAATGTTGGCAAGCGGTTTTAGTGTAACTAAAAAGGTAATCGTTAAATTTTGACCAAGACACTTTTAGATAATTTAGAGGTCCGTTCGTCTGTCAATTAACCTAGCTGGAGCTCACGATAACTGTTGAAGGTAATAACCTAGTACAAACTTTGCACATCGTAATATTTCATCCAAACTTAAATCAAGTTCGAAAATGGAGAATATCGGTTAACTCCTTCCACCAGAAATATCATGCGAACGAACTATCCAATTTGAACCAAACTTTGCACATTCTAATATTTTAACCAAGCCTGTATAATATTAAAATGTGGGACCTTTTAGTAAGTACCCCTTCTAGGACCTACGTTCCAAAAATGATCCAAATTTTAAAAATTTTATTTAACTTTTTGTTGAGATACATTTTGGATAGCACACTGTGCTGCAGAATACGGTTGCTCAAATGCGTCCATTTATGTATAGCACAAAACATATTTTGCTCGATTTCTTACAAATGACTGACATTCCGTTTTTTATAAATTTCAGAATAGTATTTGTATGGCTTGTTTTAATTTAGATCAAATATCTATATAATTTGAAGCTAAAGTGGGCGACAAAACATCCTAGTGATGAGGACAGATAAGAATGGTAAAAATGTGACCCTTAGAGTGTTAGCAGCGGCAGAGTAGCAGCCCCGAGAGGACGATGCGTGACCTGGAGAGAGAAAACGAGACGACTCCCCTAGCAGAGGATGCCAATTCACCGCAGCAAGGTGCTGATGGGGTCGGTCAGTCTCCAGCTCTCGTCGGTCGAGTAAATGAAGAAAAAACCAATAAGAAAGTAGTAAAGTCGGACGGTGCCGACAAATGAATCGTAGCAGACATCGCATTTTTAAAACATCAGTAAAATGAAATTGAATCCATAAACATGTCATTCTGCAACCGATACTAAATTTTTCATTTGGTCAGTTATATAAACAACATTTAAATCTGAACCGATTTCAGAAAACTTAACACACATCATTCTAGGCCTAATCCACTACCCTGTGTCAAATTTCGTGCCAACCGAAAGATACTAAGGGACTTTGGTACACCATTTACATTAAATCGGAGGAAAATATATATGGGAGCTATATCTAACTCTGAACCGATTTTTACTACCCAATTCAGTACGCTATGCCAAATTTGGTGCAAATCGAAAGATACAAAGGGACACCATTTGCATTAAATCGGAGGAAAATATATATAGGAGCTATGTCAAAACCTGAACCGATTTTCAGGAAACTTTACACACATCATTCTAGACCTAATTCATTACGCTATGCCAAATTTCGTGCAAATCAAATTATATATATGGACTTTGGTACACCATTTACATTAAATCGGACGAAAAAATATATGAGAGCTATATCTAAATCTGAACTGGTGCAAATCAGAAGATATATAGGGACTTTGATACACCATTTATATTAAATCGGACGAAAATATATATGGGAGCTATATCTAAATCTGAACCGATTTTCAGGAAACATTACACACATCAGTCTATACCCAGTTCAGTGCCCTTTGCCAAATTTCGTGCAAATCGAATGATATATAGGGACTTTGATGCAGCATTTAGATAAAATCGTATGAAAATATATATGGGAGCTATATCTAAACCTGAACCGATTTTCAGGAAACTTAACACACATCATTCTAAACCTAATTCATTACGCTGTGCCAAAGTTCGTGCAAATCGAGAGATATATAGGGACTTTGGTGCACTGAGTGAAGTGTGGGAACAGTATCCTCAATTGTGTTCCAGTGAGATCGTGAGAGAGAGCATGTAATTTCTTTATTTTATATTAAATTCCTTATTTGATTTATTGTGCGAATTAACTGTGGGCCGTTGGGTCTCAAATATTGTATAAAGCATTAGGAGTGCCGACAGGTCTCCTTATTGAATTTAATGCGAGAATTAACAGAGGGCCGTTGGGTCTGAAATAAAATATTGGTCATTAGCAGTGCTGACAAGTCTCCTAATTGGATTAATTATGAGAATAAACCCGTTTTACCCCAAATATACCAGTTTTATCTCAAATATAGAATTAATCATTATAAGAGACCTATCGACATCTTTATTTGAACAAATAATTGCGGACGGCCGATTGCTCTCTAGTTATAATTAAACATCAAGAGTGTCGATATGTATCTTTCTTTGAATTTTATCAATAATTACAGAGAGTCGTTTAGTCTCTACTTTTAATTAAACGTGACGAGGACCGGTAGATTTCATTCTTTAATTTTTATAAATAATTACAGATGACCGTTTCCTTCCAATTTGGAATTAAACGTTAAAAGTGCCGAAGACGTTGGGTCTCTGTTCAAAACGCGTTGGAAGAATTAGCATACATTCCGGGAAAGCTGACAAGCGTAGAACATGGAACTTTTGCCGTAATGAATCGGAGCTGGGTTTTAGTTATGTAGGATATCATATGGTCGGCTCCGTCCGACTATATTACAACGCTCAATTGTTAAAAAATACTTTGGACTTTGATATGACAAATTAAATATTGGAGTTTTTGATATTCTTCTCCTAAATTCACGTTCTAATCGACGAATCGAGATAGACCCATCATTCCTTTTGATAATATACATAGAATGACTTTCTGAGTCGATTTATGCATGTCGGTCCGTCCATCCATCCGTCTGTGGATGTTACATTTTAAACAAACTACAGGTCGTATTTAAAATCCGATTTGGATGAAATTTGGCACAAGTTACTTATTTGGCCCAACGACGAAATCGGTTCAGATTTAGATATAGCGCCATATATATTATCGCCAGATTTTAGTTAAATGGTGCACCAAAGTCCCTACAAATCGTTTGATTTGCACAAATTTTGGCATAGCATACTGAATTATATCTAGAATGCTGTGTGCTAAGATTTGTGAAAATCGATTCAGATTTAGATATAGCTCTCATATATAGTATCGCCAGATTTTAGTTAAATGGTACACCAATGTCCTTAAAAATCATTAGATTTGCACTAATTTTAGCATAGCGTACTAAACTAAGTGTAGAATAATGTGTGCAAAGTTTCGTGAAATCGGTTTAGATTAGGATATATCTCCCACATATATTTTCGTCCGATTTTATGTAAATGGTGCACCAAAGTCCCCATATATCTTTCGATTTTGGTATAGCGTACTGAATTGAGTCTAGAATGATGACTCAGATTTACATAAACCTCCTCTGTATATTTTCGTCCGATTTTAAGTTAATGGCACTCTAAAGATTTATAGCTATCCCGATTGACACTATTTCGAAAAGCTACTAGTATCAAATAGTGGCGATGAAGAAGATACTTCAGAACCAATGAGAGATGATGGTATAGAGTGTATACCACCTAGCCAAGATGAGGTCATAAAATCAATTAATCGGCTCAAGGACAACAAAGCAGCAGGAGCCGATGGGTTACCAGCCAAACTATTCAAGACTGGTGGCCAGATGCTGGTCAGGAGCATGCACCAGCTGGTTAACACAATTTGGCTAGATGAATGCATGCCCAATGATTGGAACCTCAGCATCCTGTGTCCCGTGCACAAAAAAGGAGACAAAACGATATGTGTCAACTATAGAGGAATAAGTCTCCTTCCCATCGCATATAAAGTGCTATCCAGTGTGCTGTGTGAACGATTGAAGCCAATGGTCAATGACATCATCGGACCATACTAATGCCGCTTCAGACCTGGCAAATCCACCATTGACCAGATTTTCACTCTGCGCCAAATCCTGGAAAAGACCCACGAAAAACACATCGACACATACCACCTATTTGTCGACTATACAGCCGCATTCGACAGCCCTATCCGTAAAGCCATGTCTGCGTTCGGCATTCCAGTAAAATTAATACGGCTATGCAGGATAACTTTATGTGGCACAAGGTCAGCCGTGAAAGTAGGAAAGGACCTATCGGAGCCCTTCAATACCGAACGAGGATTCAAACAAGGTGACAGATTGTCGTGTGACCTTTTTAACATCCTACTGGAAAAGGTCATACGAGACGCAAAGGTGAACAGAAATGGCACTATGTACACCAAACAACACCAGTTACTCGCCTACGCCGATGACATCGATATAATGGGTCGAACATTGCGAGCGGTAACAGCCACCTTTGAACAAATTGAAAAGAAGTCTGCCAAAGTGGGTCTGGCAGTTAACGGCGAGAAGACCAAGCTGATGGTATCAACGCGTAAGACGTCCAGTAGACTCGGACCAACTGTGGAACTTGAGAACTACAGCTTCGAGGTAGTTAAAGACTTTATATACCTTGGTACCGCCATAAATAAAAAGAATGACATCAGTTTTGAAATTCGGAGAAGGATTGTGATGGCCAACAGATGCTACTATGGTCTAAGTAAGCAGTTTAGAAACAAGGCCACCTCCCGCCAGACCAAACTCACATTTTACAAGACGCTGATACTACCCGTGCTATTATATGGTTCAGAAGCATGGGTACTTGCGCAAGCAGATGAGGCAGCTCTTAGGGTGTTTGAGAGAAAAATTCTCCGAAAGATCTACGGGCCGATCTGCGTCGACGGTGAATATCGGCGTCGAATGAACCACGGGCTTTACAATTTATACGCGGACATCGACATAGTCAGTCGTATTGAGCTGCAGCGACTACGGTGGCTAGGCCATGTTGTGCGGATGAATGAAGATGCCCCAGCTCAAAAGGCATATAAAAATGAGCCTACTGATGGTTCCCGCAGAAGGGGAAGGCCACGAATCAGATGGAAAGACCAAGTAGAAAACAACATCTTCGAACGTGGTCTTCCAAATTGGTGGACTTGCGCACAAGACCGACGCGCTTGGAAATCTTTTTTAAGCTCGGCTTATGGAACAACCGTTCTGTAACAAGCCAGCTAAGTAAGTAAAGTAAGGTGCAGAAGTGTCCTTAAAAATCATTAGATTTGCACGAATTTTAGCATAGCGTACTAAACTAAGTTTAGAATAATGTGTGCAAAGTTTCGTGAAATCGGTTTAGATTAGGATATATCTCCCACATATATTTTCGTCCGATTTTATGTAAATGGTGCACCAAAGTCCCCATATATCTTTCGATTTTGGTATAGCGTACTGAATTGAGTCTAGAATGATGATTCAGATTTATATAAACCTCCTTTGTATATTTTCGTCCGATTTTAAGTTAATGGCACACTAAAGATTTATAGCTATGCCGATTGACACAACGTACTGAAGTTAATATAAATTAATCTCTGGCAAGTTTCCTTGATATACAATTTCTTCCATATATAATTTCGACTTATTCATGTTAATTTTACAGCAAATAATCAATGGGTGTCTGATTGAGATTAAATGTTTAACAGTGCAGCATACCGAATAGCGTGTGTCATCACCAAATACAAAAAAATGTGTTTATATACACTTCACTTTCAAATGTAACGTTTTTCTATTGAAATTAAATTCATACTCTATTTAGAAAACGCAACAATGTACTGTAAAACAATTTTATTGCTGCTAATTTGAGGCTCACCGTTACATCACAAAATTAAACAATGACAATTAATACTAAACGACAAGCAAGATACGCGTTCATTTAAAACCAGTTATTAATTACCCTACATTCCAGTCATTCAAATTAAGAAGCGTTTTTGTTTTTATCTTGTAAAAAATGTTAGACTATATATTTAATATTTAAATTGGCAACAATTACACAAAACCACCACAGCGAACACTAAATCAAATAAAATGTTATTCATATTTGTAGGGTACTGCCTATTCGCCTTCCTCAGTTTATTTATTTTATATAATTTGTTTCAACAATCAGTTGGTGTGATCAAAGTGCATGTCTAACCACACATCCGATCATTTTGCAATTAAACTAACAACAATAACAAATAATATACAACTACGTAGTGTTTTATTACAAACAAATATGAAAATGCAAACCGGTATTGCTCATCGCTTGGACTCCAACGGTCAAAGATCTTTTCAGCAGTTATTTCATTTTCATTCATATCGTAAGTCATTCATTCATATATCAACATACATTTTGATTGTTTCAACATTTTCATTCATACTCACGTGCATTAACGAAACCCAAAATATCGGTACATGAATAAACCACAGCATAGTTGTCATAGTCGGTATCCAATACCCAGTAATCAGCGGCACCAATAAATGCTAGAAAAGAAAGAAACAATGTTTAGTTTTAACTTAGCTTACGAATTAAATATGCTTTAATAGTTTTGTTTTTTTCTCGAATTTCATGCGATTTATTGCGAACACATGTGATACTTTTTGACTTATTTATACATTAAAACTAATGCTTAAATCTTAAGGTCAACTGAGACATATTTTTTATCATCTTTCTGAATAAATTAACAATAAGACACATTAAAAATATAATGCTTGCGAACAAAAAACAAGTTCGACAACATTATGTTCGAATTAAAGATTTTATGAATGAAGCAAGCTGCTACTGTTAATAATAATCATAATATTAGATTAGAAGAATCAACTAAAAATAAAATAAATTAAAGTTTGTGGTCTTTTCTCAGAAAAAACAAGTGGAAAAGCGTTAAGTTCGGCCGGGCCGAACTTTGGATATCCTCCACCATAGTTATACTGACAGATACATGCAATGAAAATATAGGGAACATACCAAAAAGTGGGCATATACCGATAATTCTACAAACCGATTTATGTAAACCATTATGTACACCAAATACAAACTTCAGCAATTTTTAATGGAGAATTTTACTAAAATCTGTAAGATCCAAAAAGTGGACTGATACTGATAACGCATGGTAGAGTATAAAATCCTCAAATTACTGTAATTTAGATTACAAAGGGTATGCCTAAAGGGGGACCAATATTGATTACATAGTGTATGAAATGGTGAATATTTGGGGATATCATTATATGAGGGCTATGCCTAATTAATGTTACCCAACCGCAACACACGGAACAAATCAGATAACTATTTTAATATAAAAAAGGGGGTTATATGGGGTCTACACCTAAAAAGGGGTGAATATTAATATTTTTTAAGGGGAGATTTGTTACCATATACGACTACAAAATACCAAATTTCAGCGAATTCGGTTGAAAAACGCTCTCAAGAACCTCAAAATATCGAAAATTGCGGGTACCCTTATATAGGGGCTACCCGAAAAAAATGACCTATATTTATAATTTTTTGTGGAGAGATTTGCTACCCAATAAGAACTCAAATTACTAAATTACAGCCAATTCGGTGAAAACATCCGGTCAAAACCCCCCAAAAACTGTAAAGTGGGAGGTACCCTTATATGGGGGCTACCGGAAAAAGTGGACCTATATTTATAATTCTTAGTGGGGACATTTGGTACCCGATAAGAACCCGATGTACAAAATTTCAGCGAATTCGGTTGAAAACCGCGCTCAAGAACCCTAAAATACCGCAAAATTGGGGGTACCCTTATATGGGGGCTATCCCAAAATATGGGCCTATATTTATAATTTTTTGTGGAGACATTTAGTACCCAATACGAACACAATGTAGCAAATTTCAGCGAATTCGGTTGAAAAACGCGCTCTAGAACCCCAAAATACCGAAAATTTGGGGGTACACTTATATGGGAGCTATGGCTAAACGTGGACCGATATATCCCATCTTCGAACTTGACCTGCCTGCAGACAAAAGACGACTCTGTGCAAAATTTTGGCGATCTATCTCAACTCGTTTAGACGCTAGAGTGATTACAACAGACGGACGGACAGACGGACATGCTTAGATCGTCTTAGAATCTTACGCTGATCAAGAATATATATACTTTATAGGGTCGGAAATGATTATTTCGATAAGTTACAAACGGAAAAACAAAATTAATATACCCTCCATACTATGGTGGAGGTTATAAAAAACAGTAAGGAAAGTAGTAAAGTCGGACTGGGCCGACTATATGAAACCCTTCACAACTTTGGGTATATTGTCCATATGTATCCTAACAAATGCATGTTTATGTTTCTTCTTTCTCCAACCGATCCTAACTTTAATTTCATTCGAACAGATTTAGAGCCGTCTGCGTAACATGGGCAAAATTCATGGAAAACGATTTATAGCAAAATTGATACACGGTATTCGGTACGCCGCGTTGTTAAAAATATAATCTATATGTGGGAGCTAAATCTAAATCTGAACTGATTTTCACGAAAATTAACACATATCTTACTAGACTTAATTCAGTACGCTATGCCAAATTTTGTGCAAATCGAAGGATATATAAAGGGACCTTGGTGCACTATTTACCTAAAATCGGACGAAAATATATGAGAGCTATATCTACATCTCAACAGATTTTCACGAAATTTAACACGCATCGTTCAAGACTTAAGTCAGCACGATATGCGAAATTTCGTGCAAATCGAACGATACAAAGAGACTTTGGTGCACTATTCATCAAAAATCGGACGAAAATATATATGGGAGCTATATCGAAATCTCGACCGATTTTCCCAAAACTCACCACTCATCATTCTAGACTCAATTTAGTACGATAAGTTAAATTTTGTGCACATCGAAGGATATAAAGGTACTTTGGTGAACTATTTACATAAAATCGAACGGAAATATATATGGGAGCTATATCTAAATCTGGACCGATCCTCACGAAACTTGGGAGACATCACTCTAGGCTATATTAAGTACGTTATGCCAAATTTCGTGCAAATCGAAAGATATATAGGGACTTTGGTGCACCATTTGCCTTAAATCGGACGAAAATATATATGGAAGCTATATCTGAATCTGAACCGATTTTCACAAAACTTAGCACACATCATTGTAGACCTAATTCATTACGCTGTGCCAAATTTCGTGCAAATCGGAAGATATATAGGAACTTTGGTGCACCATTTACATTAAATCGGACGAAACTATATATGGGAGATATATCTAAATCTGGACCGATTTCACGAAACTTGGCAGACATCACTCTAGGCTATATTAATTACGTTATGCCAAATTTTGTGCAAATCGAAAGATATATAGGGACTTTGGTTTACCTTTTGCCTTAAATCGGACGAAAATATATATTAGAGCTATATCTGAATATGAACCGATTTTCACGAAACTTAGCACACATCATTGAATATCTAATTCATTACGATATGCCAAATTTCGTGCAAATCGAAAGATATATAGGGACTTTGCTACACCATTTATCTTAAAAATATATATGGGAGCTATATCTGAATCTGAACCGATTTTCACGAATGTGATAGTAATTTGGTACAAAGGGCGTTGAAGTCTGGCTTACATATATACAGAGAATGTTCAATGTATGTCAATGTTTTACATAGCTTAATCAAATGTTCAGTTTAATTTTCGTCATGTTGAAGTTTCTAGCCCCGTTTTCCCTCCTGAGTGTCTGTAATTTGGAACATATTTTTAGAGCATGATAAACCTACTACCCCATAATGTAATAACATGGAAGGAAGGAATCATGAAAAAACGGTAGTTACCCTTAAAGATTAAATCACGTTTTTTTCCAATATCATTATTTCCCTACATTTGTCCATGTATTTTTGTAAACAAAGTGAATTTCTAATTTATTATCCGAATGAGCTGAAAATCGGCACAGCTCATTTATTAGGTCTATCAGATTTTGCACAGACATTGCTAGTATTGTAAATCGGTATACGTTTTGGTGTAGCCCCCATATAACGGTACCCCCAATGTTATGTATTTTGGCGATTTTGGACACGTTTTTCAACCGAATTTGTTTGCAAATTGGAATTTTGTATTTTTGATTGTATAGCATATCTCCGTACCAAACATTATTAATACTGCCCAAGATTGGTACTTGGGTTCTCATAACGGTACCACCACATCTCCGCACTAACATTTGGCATAATTTGAATTTTTTTTATTAGAGCTATTGGAAACAATGGTTTTATACATGATTTTAAATGCCAAAAAATGAGTTGGTGTTTGTAAACGAGATTTTTTACATAGACCAATTAAATAGCATCACCTGATATATTTGTGGTACAACCTGATATTTATATGCAGTCTGAGGTTTTAAATGATGTTACTTATAAATACAGATACAACAAGACAAACATATTATTTGCATTGATTTTTTTTAGAATTTCTAGCACGATTTACGGTCTAAAAATAATCCAGATTTTAATTATAACCAGTTAGATTAGAATTTTGTACTTTTAGATATTATTTATATATTTGCTTGAGATTCTTTTCAGTGATAACACTTTTGCATTTCAGTTGTTTACTTTGCACTCGATTAAATACGTAGCACTCAGCACTGAATATTCGCACTAGTTATATTTTCTGAAAATATTGGATTGCAATTTTTCATCAAGTTAATGAAATCCTGAAAATACATATTGATAAGTTCGAAGAAAATCCATAATATAAAACCAGTGAGTCGAGCAGTATAGTCGGACGGGGCGGACCATACGATACCCTACACAACTATCACGGAAATCTAACTTTCAGCGGTTTTTTATTCCGAGCCTGGCAAAATTTCGTGATAGTTGCACCCTCTTGCCCGATTAGAGCTCAACAGCACCTCTTCCTTACACTGACATATTTTCCGAATACTACTAATATTCAGTACAGTCCTTCTAATTACTTGTCCTGATTCCCTTGACAGTGGGTTGTGTTGTGATGTTCGGTTTATAATTGTGTTGTTTATAAAGTTGTTGGTCCATTTCATCGGTTTATAAAGTTGTTGGTCCATTTCATCCCCTAAATATTAACCAATCTTTTCCACAAACAAACATTGGCCAGAACCCATCCTACATGCAAAATTTCGTGAAGATTGGTCCATAACTGTGGCCTGTATCGTGTTTACAAATTATAATGGACAGACGGACGGACGGACGGACACACATGTCTAGATCGACTCAGCTAGCCGAGATATGACGATCGGTATACTTAAAGGTGGGTCTAGGACCAATATTTCGCGGCGTTACAAACTTTTGGGGTTGCACAAAGCTATAATACCCTGACAACATAGTTGTGTAGGGTATAATTAGAGACAGTTCTGTTTAAAAGCGAGCCCAAATAAATCTGCGTTATCATGGAAATTTCAAAGTTCTGTCATGTAAGTTGCAAGCTCTATCGTGTTTTAAACAGGCAGACGGGTGAACATGGCTAGATCGACATAGAATTTTATTCTGATCAAATGACACAATTAATTATACACTCCACTCTAAAGTGAACGGAATATATTTCGTTAAAAAAACAGTAAGGAAAGTAGTAAAGTCGGACGGGGCCGACTCCCAACGGCGGATACCCTTCACCACTATGGGTATATTAAACAGTACTATTAAAAATAAATTGGATGAAATAAAATATGTGATATTTATCTAAATGTGAATCTACATAGATCTATCCATAAAGTATGTAAATCAACTTCAAACAAATATAAATAGGTCATCCTTAGGCTATGTCTGTTCTTCTAGAAAACGCAACTACGTAATTCTTTGCTCAATTTTGTACGTTTTGCAAAATTTGATGTCAATCTGACTAACATGATAAATTTTCGTGCAAATCGAAAGATATATAGCGACATTGGTGCACAATTTACATGAAATTGGACGAAACTGTATGTGGGAGCTATATAGAAATCTGGACCGATTTTCTCGAAACCTGGCAGACACCACTCCAGGCTCAATTCAGTACGTTATGTAAAATTTCGTGCAAATCGAAAGATATATAGGGACTATGGTGCACCATTTACATGAAATCCGACGAAACTATATATGGGAGCTATATCTAAATCTGGACCGCTTTTCACGAAACTTGGCAGACATCATTCTAGACCTAAATGATTAGGCTGTACCAAATTTCGTGCAAATCGAAAGATATATAGGGACCGTTTACATTAAATCGGTTTAATATATATATGGGAGCTATATCTAAATCTGAACCGATTTTTCCCAATTTCAATAGGGTTCGTTCTTGGGCCGAATAAGTGACCTATGCCAAATTTCATCCAATTCGAATCATAAATGCGACCTGTACTTTGTTTACAATTTAACATGGACAGACGGACGGACATGCATAAATCGACTTAGAAAGTGATTCTATGCATATTCTCAAAATGTGTCTATCTCGTTTCCTTTTGCCTGTTACAAACATATGTTCAAAGACATAATACCCTGTACCACAGTGTGGTGAGGGGTATAAATAGTCATGAAAATGTGAAATTGTAACTCCGAAGAAAAATAAGAAAAATTTTACAAACGATACTTACATGGCATATTGTTAAATCGTACTTTTAATTTGCCCGGAGCAGCAAGCTTAGCATTTCCCAAAATATCATTTGGGCGACCAGTTCTGCAATAAATTCCAATATTATATCTTTGAAATATTTCACAACATAATTACATTGGTCACTTACAATTCATTAATGTTATAATTATACACACTAAGATCACCATCTTTCATCTGACTATATTCCGCATATATGCATTTACCGCCCAATTCAAAAATAAACGGATACTTTTGTTGTTCATACCAACGTCCCAAATACTACAAAGAGATAAATTTTATTAAATTTCTAAATTGCCAAATTATTTTTATTTGCAATTTTACCCGATTTGCATTGAAATTTTTAACAGCCGGTATATTTCTATTGCAACTGCCCGTATTTAAAACTTGCCCGCAGCCCAGTTGAATTAGGCAAATTAAAATGGTAATTTGTTTTAAGCTGGAAATTAGACACAATAAAAATTTAACACAATTTGTTGTTATTGCATTTTGTTTTAAATCTCATGTGAGAATTTGTTAACAACACCTTTTCATTTTATCGCTGAACGTTACGCGGCGATCTACGTCTAATTGTTGTTTCACGGTGTTTTGTCTTACGCGAATTGAAAACGACTGACAATTTCTGTAAACATTTACTTAGATTTTATAGCAAACAAGAACATTCGATTGTTTAAAAAAAATACAATTCTCAATAGATAAATTGCGTACTTAGTTTGTGACTTGGCACAATTTCATTCTAGTAGCTGTTGAACCGTAATGTAAAATTAAATGTTTTATAATCGCAAATCAATTAAATTTCTTTAAATCGTATCGATTACAAACAGCTTTATTTTGCCTATATTAATGTTGCACGCGTTTGCAGTACAACAAATGACTCTATACTATAGGTGCACAACAATGTACTGTTCTGTATAATAAAATATCTTGCAAGTCCGTCTGTCTGTTGAAATAACGGTAGTGATCGCAATATAGCTTTGAAATTTTACACACCCATTGCTGCTGCTCCTAAGATGTTTGGTATTGCAAATGGGATATTGTCACATTTTTAAACCGAATTAACGGTTGAAAAATGCCGTTTTTATACCCTTCACCATTATGTCTTTGTGCATATGTTTGTAACAGGCAAAAGGAAACGAGATAGACACAAGGTTTCTTTTGAGAATATGCTTAGAATCACTTTTTAACTCGATTTATGCATGACCGTCCGTCCGTCTGTCTGTCCATGTTAAATTGTAAAAAAAGTACAGGTCGCATTTATGATTCGAATTGGATGAAATTTGGCACAGCTCATTTGTTTGGCCCAAGGACGAACCCTATTGAAATTGGGGAAAATCGCTCCCATAGCTCCCATATATAATTTCGTCCGATTTAAGGTAAATGGCGCACCAAAGTACCTATATATCTTTCGATTTGCACTCAATTTGCGTACGGAATTAAGTCTAGTGTGATGTGTGCAAAGTTTCGTGAAAATCTGTTCAGTTTTAGATATAGCTCCAAAATATAGTTTCGTCCGATTTTATGTAAATCGTGCACCAAAGTCCCTATATATCTTTCGATTTGCACGAAATTTGGCATATCGTACTGAATTAAGTGCAAAATGATGTGTGTTAAGTTTCGTGAAAATCGGTTCAGATTTAGATATAGCTCCCATATATATTTTCGTCCGATTTAATGTAAATGGTGTACCAAAGTCCCTATATATCCTTCGATTTGCACGAAATTTGGCACAGCGCACTAAATTAGGTCTAGAATGATGTGTATTAAGTTTCCTGAAAATCGTTCCTGATTTATATATAGCCCCCATATATACTTTCGTCCGATTTTATGTAAATGGTGTACCAAAGTCCCTATGTATCTTTCGATTTCCACGAAATTTGGCATATCGTACTCAATTAAGTGCAGAATGATGTGTTTTAAATTTCGTGTACTAAATTTGGTACAGTTTTGATCAGAGTGAATGGATAGAGATGGAAAATGTAAATTTGGAATGCAGATCACAGGATTAAGGTAGTATTGGAAATTCGTACTTTTGAATACGAGAAGCACTAAATGGTACTAAATATGTGTGAGCGGGAATCCTAAAATTTGGAATCAAAATTAAGGGTGGAATGTAGGATTGAGATATGGAGGTAGTTTTGAAAATGCATGATTATGTGTACTAAATGGTACTAAGTTTAGTACAATTTGGATTTAAATGAAAGGATACAGATATAAATAGAAAACTTATATTTGAAAATCAAATTACTGTTAGAGTACAGGTTTGGTTGTTGGTGAACGGATAGAGCTGGGATCCCTAAATGTGGACTAAAGGTTTTTATTGGAGAACATGACTGGGGTAGTTTTGAAAATTCGTACTTATGGGTACGAAAAGCACAAAATTTGGTACAAATTGGACTTTGGTGAACGGGTATAATTCGAATCCCGAAAGTTGCAACTTAGGTTACTGTGGGAGTGTAGATTTGATATAATTTGGAATGTGGGTACGAAAAGTACAGAATGGTACCTAATCTGGTACAATTTGGTTTTTGATGAACAGACAGAGCTAGAATTCTTAAATGTTCACTTACGATTACTATTTGAAATCAGGATTGAGGTATGTTTGGAAATTCGTTTTTATGAGTACGAAAAGTACTAAATTAAGACTTTGGTGGACGAAAAGTACTAAAATGTACAAAAAATGTTACCTTATGTATTAGGCGAACGGGAAGAGCTAGAATTCTGAAATTTCGAATGTGGGTCACTGATGGAAATTTAGAAAGATGTACAAAAGGGTTTTTAGAAATTCGAACTATTAGTGTACTAAAAGTACTAACAATTACTAAATTTAGTTCGAATTGTATATATATTGAACATATATAGCTAAAATCTTGAAATTTTATATGGAATACAGGTTGGGAAGTGGTGTTGATGTATGGAAATGCTTTAAGAAATTCGTACTTATGTGTATAAAAAGTACAAAATGGTACTAAATTTGGTACTATTTGCATTTAGTTGAGTGTATAAAGATGGAATCTGGAAAATCGGAATCAGGACAACTATTGGAGCATAAGATTGAAGTAGCTTTAAAAAATCGTACTTATGTTTACGAAAAGTACTAAATAGTACTAAATTTGGTGCATGTTGGATTTAGGTGAACTAGATTGAGGTAGTTACTTAATGGTACGAACAGTACTATATGGCACAAAATTTAGTACAATTTGGATTTTGCTTAAAAGGATAGAGCTGAAATCCCTATATTTGGTACCACTTGATTATTTGAGAACGGATAGAGCTGGACTCCAGAATGGAATTAAAATTCCTGTAGGAGTGTAGGATTGAGGTAGTTTAGGAAATTCTTAATTATAGAAACAAAAAGTACTAAATGGTACCAGATAGTTTGCAAATTGTTTTTGCGCGAACGGATAGGGCTGAGATTCTGAAATTTTGAATTATTATTACAATTAGAGTGTAGGATTGAGACAAGTCAGTAGTTTGGAAAATTTGTCATTATGTGTACTAAATGGTACAAAATTTGGTACAATTTGGATTAGAATTAACGGATAGAGATGGAAGAAAAATTACAGAATTAAGGTATTTTTGGAATTTCGTACTTATGGACAATTAATGGTACTAAATATGGTACAATTCGTGAGCGAGAATCCTAAAATTTGAAATTAAAATTAAGGTTGGAGTGTAGGAAAGGATATGGATGTAGTTTAAGTTTAGTACAATTTAGATTTGGGGGAAAGTTGGAGAACAATAAAATTACTGTTATGGGACAGGATTGAGACATTGTTGGAAATTCGAACTCATAGGTACGAAAAGTACTAAATGGTACTAAATATGGTAAAATTGAGATCTATGTGAACGGGTAGGACTGTTATCCTAGAAATTGTGATTAAAATTACTGTTCTGTGTGTAATTGAGTCAGTTTTAGAAACTCGTACTTATGTCTATGAAAAGTAATAAGTGGTAATAAATTTGGTACTACTTGGATTTTGGTGAACGGATAGAGCTGGAATTTTTAAATGCTGACTTAAGGTTATTATTGGAGTGCATGACTGAGGTAGTTTTGGAAATTCTTACTTTGGGTACGAAAAGCGCAGAATTTGGTACAATTTGGATTTTGGTGAACGGGTAGAACTCGAATCCTGAAAGTTGCAACCAAGATTACTGTTGGAGTGTAGGAAAAGTACAGAATGGTACCAAATCTGTTACAATTTAGTGAACGTATATATCTGGAATTCTTAAATTTGGACTTACGATTACTATATGAAAGCAGGTTTCAAATATTGAGATAGGTTTGGAATATGGGTACGAAAAGTAGAGAATGGTATCAAATATGGTATAATTTGGTCTTTAATGAACAGACAGAGCTGAAACTCTTAAACAATTACGCAATTACGATTACTAATTTAAAGCAGAATTGATTTACATTAGGCAATATGTACATATGAGTACCAAAAGAACTAAATTTGGTACAATTTGGATTTTGGTGGAATTAAGTTTACTGTTAGAGTATATGAATGATATAGTTTTAGAAATTCTCACTTATGGGTATAAAAAGTAATAAATGGTACTTAATTTGAAACGATTTGGATTTGTATGATTCCTGAGATTTAGAATTCAGATTACTGTTGAAGTGTAGTATTGAGCTACGGAGACAACTTTGGAAACTCGAATAGTAAATAGAAAATTCACTAAACTATTTTTAATCTATGTAATGGAAATAAGAAAGAGATTTCGGAAAATAGTGCTGATGTGTATGAAGAGTCCTTAATTGTAATAAACTTGATATTAGATGTAGGAAAAGAGGTGGAATTTAGAACAATAGTACAACAAATTATGGAGTATTTACGATTTCCATATGATTTTGTTATTCCCTTTCCGCATACGAAGTAGCGGGCACTTTGCTAGTATATTATAAAGTTACCTCACACATAAAGCCTAACATTTACTTTCTTTATCAATACTACTACCCCTTCATAATCCATTAACGTTAACCTTTATATATGTCTTAAATATATTAATAAATGCAATAAATTAATAATTACATATGCCACTGTACTATGCTAAGCTACTATCCAATTATGTTTAAAAATATTGAATTTCGTTGGTATTTCTTTTTCCCATTATACTGGGAAATTTATAATGTAGCAAACTCACCCCTAAAGTATGCTTTAAATAATTTCCTAGTTGGACTGCATTGCCGATAGTACATACTGCGCCATCTACACGTCGTATGTATAGAAAACTGGTTAATATTGCAGAACTGTAATACC